CGGGCCCTGCTCCCGCAGAGACTCAGTTTCTCAAAAGGACACTGCTCTGACTTCTGCACTTGAAACTGCCTCCCACCTGCCTCCCTGCCTCCTGCCTTCGCCCGTCCCTCCCAATCCCATCTCCCCACAGAGCCTCCGTGATCTTTCTAGAAGGCCAATTTAGCACGTGCTCCACCATGACCTGCCCTTCTCCGACTCTGACATCATCTCCAGCCTCTTCTCACTCACTTCCACACGCCAACTATTCACCAGGAATGCTCCCTGCCTCGGGGTTTTGCCCATGCTCTTCCTGTTGCCTTGTGTCCCTTTCTCCCACACTGCCGCTCAGAAACCTCCTACTCCGTCCTTGGGGGCCAGCTGAAGTGTCACTTCCTTTGTGAGGCCTTCCTGGATTTCCCAAGGCAGAAAGAGTGAGTCCCAGCTCCAGAGCGTTCCCCAGACGCTTGACTAAAGTATGTGCAGCTGTGGGTTCAGAGCCACAGGCTTTGGAGTCAGCCCAGGGCTCCAGCTCTGGGGGCCCGCTTTTCTCGTGCAAGATGGGAATAGTGATAAGATTCCTGCTCCCTCCGGCTGGTAGAGATTAAATATGAAAATATATGTAAAACGCTTAGCACACCCAGCAATTAGCTAGCTCTCCGCAGACGTCAGCTGAAGTTCTTATGTTGTTTGGTTAAATAATAAAGAGCCTACGAGCTTCTCTGGAGAGTGCTCTGTGTTACTCATGTTTGGACCCAGCACCGGGCACCGTGCTGGCCTCACGGTAGGCCCTCGATGAATGTCTGATGAGTTTGGTCCATCCACTGGGCTGGATTTGTCAGTCCACTAGGATTAAATTTAATCTCGTCCGATTGAACTAAGACTAAAGGAACGATGCTCAATGACTGAGCTGAGACCAATGTCATGAGGGACACTTCAGGCCCGATGCGGGTGGGGAGGCAGTCGGGGCAAGGACGCTTTATGGAAGCCCCCCCCAAGACCACCAAGGGCCTTCGCAGGAGGCAGGGAGCTTGAGGAGTGGGTCAGTGTGTGCGAAGGCCCAGGCACTGGGCGCCAGGGCTAAGATGATCGAGTCTGCTCGGTCCCCAGATGGACAAGCCTTCCCGCCAAGCGGGGCCGGGGCAGGCTGGAGCCCCTGGCCCTCCGTGGGAGGCTGGAGCTGGCACGGGGGTGGGAGGCTGGCCCCACTGCCTGTAGAGGGCCCGGGGCGCCTCCTCACGCTCTGCAGGTGCCGGCCTGCTCCTGCCGGAACCCTCGCCCTCCCTGGCAGGCTCGTGGTCAGGGCCGTTGGTCCCTCCGGGCCATCAGCGGCTCCCACACGGAATGCTTTCCCCACATTTCCATGGCGGCTGCTGGTTTTTCTGTTCATTTTTCCTGTCCTCCCCTCCACTCTGCCTGCTCTCCCCACACTGGAGCCAGAGATGCCCTCACCCCTTTCTTCTCTTCTCTTCCCTCCCCGCGTCCTACTGAAGGTCAACCGTGTATGTGCTGGGGCTGGGGCTGGGGGTTTGTCGTGAAAAGCCAGCCTGAGGTTTGGCCTCAGAGGCCAGTCAATGCTCAGGTGCCAAAGGAGCAGCCATATCCTCAAGGTGTCTCGCCCCCAACTCTCTCTTGCTCTCACACGCGCCGTTGGGGAGCGAGCACAGGACAAGGCCCAGCCTCAGCTCTCCAGGATTTCTGAGCTCGGGAGCAGGATCAGCCTCATGGCGCAGTTCCGCGGGGCCTCGAGCTCAGAGGGCCTCGTGCTCTGCTGCGGCCATCTCGAAATTCTTAACCGTTTTTGAACAAAGCTTTTCCATTCTCATTTCGTGTTGGACCCTGCAAATTACATAGCCAGCCCCGCTCTGGAGGGCCCAAGTGGAGAGCAGCCCCGAGGAGAGAGGGAGGCAGCCAGGCTGGGCCGGGCGTCCGGGCAGAGAGAGGCCACCAAACTCAGCGACCCGGTCACTGGATGAAAGCTGGCTGGGGGCTCCCCCTCTCTGAACTGTCAGCCTCTGAAATGGCACCTTGGCCCTCCTTTCCCACTCTGCAAAGACCTGATGGGCTGGCGAGGGAAAGGGCCACTCTGGTCCCCAGGGTTGGCCCGAGGATGAGGCACACGTTCTGGGAGGGCCCTGGAAACACTATCTCCCTCTAGTTGGATGAGAAGCAAAATTCAGGCCCTCAGGTCCTCATGGATTGCAGTTTTCAGCCTCTCTTTGCTCCTAAGGACCCTGTCCTGTAATCACCATGTCTTCACATCCCGTGACTCAGAGCTGGAGAGAGGACTCACGTCACGCCTGACCTGAGTGGAACGGAGAAGCGGGACACCTGCCCTCTTCTCCCAGCTGTCCTCCTGGTCCTCCCCGAGGACGTGCTGGCCTTTGGATTCAACATCAGCCTGTGCTCAGGGAGCACCTATGTGCTGGGCACTGAGCTCGGGGCTTCACGTGCGTGATTCCTTTTAAACGAACACCTGGTGGCATCTGTGTGTCAGCTGGTGGCCCCCTGGGAACCCCAGAGCTGTGTCTCTTGTCTTATGTTTGACTGAGATCTGGTGGGATGCAGGACGGATTAGAGAAAGAAATTCCAGAAAGGATCCATTGGGTCAATCCAGCGCTCTGTGGGCTGTGAGGGACCCTGGTTTCCGATAAAATGCGCTGCCTGCAGCTCGGAGGGGTGTGTCTCTCTGTGTCTTCCCATCCGCTTAGGGGAGCGGGGCTGGGAGAAAGGCGTAGAAAGAAGCCTTGAGTCCGAGTCCCAGCCCTGCCACTCCCTGTGGGCATTTCTCTTTCTCTCTCTGGGCTTCGGGTTCCTTACATAAGAGGCGTGAGGCTGGCAGGCTCCTCCAAGCTCTGATATAACGTGACAATGTGTCTACACGGTTGTTCTTCGGGGTCACTCTCAGTGAGCAACCTGTTTCAGCCCAACCCAAATCTCTTCTGCTGCCCCTTGCTCCCTGTTGGGTCCTCATCTCACTCCAGTCAAGTGGGACCAGTCCCCGTCTCCCCAGCTGTCTGGGACATCCCACGGCCAGGCGACTTTCAGACCATTTGGCCCCTGGGGCTTTGAGGGAGGGGGTCCCAACCCCCACTCCGCTCTTCCGCCCCCCCGCCGGCCTCAGCCGCAGCCTCAGCCCTGGGCTAGGGGTGCGTGGGGAGCAGCTTGGCCCCAGAGAGTTTAGGCTGCTTCCCCAGAGCCCAAGCAAGCCCCAACTGGCCTGTGAGGTCCCCACTAACCTGCCTGTTACCGCAGGTAAGACTTATAATCAGAAATTGCTTGGAGCCCAGGCCCATGTGGGAGAAGGAGAAGGGTTTGGGAGGGGGTGGGTTGGTTTTATTCCAGAGCTTAATTGGTATAATTGCTTCTTCTTCTGCCAAACCCGAGTCGGTCTGGATCGGCTCTCCCACCTGCGGACGGGGGTCTGCTCAGAAAGGTCTTTTCGTTCCCAGCGGTGGATTCTGCTGGCTGCTCACAGGCTCCTTCAGCCCCCACCCAGGCGGCAGGGAGCCTGGGCCCACCCACCCTGGAGGACTGGGACCCAGGGAAGCCTGGAGCCTGACCCGGGGAGGGGGAGCTTCTTCAGAGAGGGCTGGGCAGGGAGGGTGGGAGGGACTGCTCTGTGGCAGGCGGCTGAGCCTTGGGGCTCCCCAAGCTTCAGAGGTCCCGGGGGGGGGGGGGGAGAGGGGGACATCCCCCAGGAGGGGGAAGGGGAGGAAGCGGAAGCCAGCACAGATCTTTTGCCTCCCCCACTCCTCTCTGGGCTCCATGGGGAGCCGTTTGTGCTCAGGTCCAAGACCACCAGCAGGACCGACCCCCACCCGGGCCCCTCTGGACAGCCTCCTTGTCAGAGGAAAGGCAACACGGAGCGGCAGGCCCTGAGCTGTGCATTTGTCCACATTTCCACTCAAAACAGCCTCTGGGGCGGGCGGGCAGGCAGTCAAACCACACAGCTGAGGAAACCAACCCAAAAGGTGAAGGGAGGGGACTTGTAGCTCCACCACTCCGAGGGCCAAGCCCACACTCCTCCTGTGCTCACAGAACCCCCGGGTAGGATTGCCACACAAAGTACGAATATTGCACGGGGCCTGCTTTCTCTATAAAGCTATTCCTTGTTTATCTGAAATTCAAATTTAGCTGGGCTTCATCCCAAATATTGCACGAGACATGCTTATGCTAAAGAGTATTCATTATTTATCCGAAATTCAAATTTAAACGGGCCACCTGTATTTTTATTTGCTAAAGCCGGCGATGCTACCCGGGGTTGGCGTCCCCCCTGACCCACCAGGCCCGAGTGAAACGCCGGGATGCCCCGCTCACCCGGAACACCAGTGCAGGCCTGACTGCTTCTCCCATGAGTCACCCTCCCCCTTCATCTGCTCGTTCGCTTGGTTTCCCCCTGTGTGTCCCTGTCCCCATGGATCAGGAACAGGCTGCAGACACCTCCTTCCTTGCCCGGGCCCTCCGGCCTCGCCCTGCAGTAGGGGTCCTAGGACGTGGAGTGTGGTTGCAGCCTCGTCCTGTCCAGCCTGGCTTGGGACAGGGAGGCTGTCCCCAGCCAGCAGGGTGGAGCCAGGTGGCCTGGGTTTGGAGCCCAGCTCCACCACTTACTAGATAAGGGACCTTGGGCAAGTTACTTAAGTGCCCTGTACCTCGTTTTTCTCATTTGCAAGATGTCAGCCTCCAGGCTGTGAGAATTAAGCGGCTGGATACAGACCATGCCCTTAGAACATGGTGGGTGCACTCCCAGTAAATGGGGGCTCTAACCACATAAGGAGGTGAGATGCAAATGGGGCTCCAGGGTGGAGGGCCACTCGCAGGGGCTCTGCCCATGGGTTGGAATGGGGGTGAATGTGGGAACGGAAGAGGTGGGATGCGGGCTGAGTGGTGCCACATCCCAGCGTAGTTCCGGGTACCAGGTACCTTGACCCCTGTGGGGTCCTGTCTGGCCCATCCCCGCCCAGTCCCAAACCTTGGTCTGCATCTCGCCCTGGATTGATCCTCTTCATCCTCTCTCCCACCAGGCGCCTAGATGCCAACCTCATCTCCCTGGTCCCGGAGAGGAGCTTTGAGGGGCTGTCCTCCCTCCGCCACCTGTGGCTGGACGACAATGTACTCACCGAGATCCCTGTCAGGGCCCTCAACAACCTCCCCGCCCTGCAGGCCATGACCCTGGCCCTCAACCGCATCAGCCACATCCCTGACTACGCCTTCCAGAACCTCACCAGCCTTGTGGTGCTGTGAGTGCTGCCCTGCCCCATCCCCCCTGGGTCCTGCTGGGGCTGCATGTTTACTCAGAGCTGGGCTGGAAGCTGGATAGCTTTGCATTTCTCTATGTGCTACGGACCCTTCTGGCCTCAGTTTCCCCTTTGTAAATGAGGATGATGGTCCCCTGTGGACGCCACAGGGTTATCATGAGACCAAGTGACACTAGAGCTGTAGAGGTGCTCTGGGAGGCCAGAAAACAGGAATTAGTATTGTTTTCTCACGATACAAGTGTATGAACTATACCACGTGAATTGGCATTGAAGTTGACTTTCTTCCATGATTTCCCGCGTATTTGACAATCGGATGATGTAGTCTCCTGCTTCGGCACAGGGAGAGGGGAAACTCATCTCGTTTCCAGGCCTGGAGAAGCAGAGAAGAGCCATCACTTGTAATTAGACAGCCAAGCCCCGGCAGGGCAACGGCCCAGGAGCTGCATCCCCGGCAGGACCTGGGGACCGGGGATAAGTCTGCCCTCCCGCTGGGAGCTTTAGAGTGCAGACTAGCTCCCAGCTGATTGCTCTGCGTGATCAGTAAGTTTGCAGGGTAATTACTAGGGCTCGGAGGTCGTGTGTAATTGTTCTGGATTGCACACTAATTGCTACAGGAACACGAGTGTTAGTGACTCTGCTCGATGGCCACACTGCCTCCCTGGCTCTTGGCAATCTAGTGGGATTTTCCAAACCAGGGGACGGGTGATGCTCAGCTCCATTTGAGGATGAAAAGCCAGCACCAATTTGTCTAATTCTCTGTCCCGGGAGACTGGAGGACCAAGATGAGTATCCTTATGGACCACATCCTTCTATCAGGATGGCCATACCAGACCCCTTCTGGGAGGCACTGGGGGGTTCATAGAGGGTAAAAGAAAAGGTGGTTGACTCCAGCTGTGGTGACACCCCTGTGACATCATGAGTGGAGGGAATCAGGTCTCTGTGACAGACGAGACCACTGGAAAAATGAGGGCTCAGGATGGGTCCCCACAAATGAGCAGCAGCAGGCATTTATGGAGCCCTTTGGGGACACTGAGGACTCTGAGAAGTGTGAGATGTAGCCGATGCCCTCATGGGGCTGATGGCCTCGTTGAAATGGCAGAATAGGTAGGGAAGAGGAGCTGATGATGTGACATCACTCATTCCAGGAAGCCGGCTTACAGCGTGGGAGCACTGGGGCAGCTGAAGCAACTGCAGGAGGGGTAGCTGTGTGGGGTGGTGGAGTGGGGCCTGGCCTGGAAAGACCATGAAGAGTTATCAAGAGAAGAGAAAGAGAGGGTTCCAGACAGGGGTCCATAAAGACAGGCAGGGGAAAGTCGGATGTTTGGCAGCCAGCAGATAGGCCGGTCTGGCAGGAGCAGAAGGGTCCTCTTGCAGAGTGTGGGAGAAGAGGCTGGAAAGGAGAGTTTGGGGGCTCAGGGTCAGAGCAAGGAGTCTGGCTTTTAGCTGCCAGTGGGGGAGGGCAGCTTGAAGGTCCTGGAGCAGAGGCGAGGGGGTGTTTGAGAGGGCTAATTTGAAGGATGGACGGGAACAGGAGGAGCCTGGAGAAGCAAGGTCAGTTAAGGGGCTCTCGTGCACCAACCAAGGTCCAGCGGAGGGAGGCGGCAGAGGGACGGCAGGGAGGGCAAGGCGGTGAGGGACGTTCTGAAGGGAGAGTTGATCTGATCTAGACGTTTTCAGAGGGTGGAAGCCCAACAAGAAGGGGAGTCAAGGACGCCTCCAAAGTCTGCTGGGAACCAGGGAGTGGCTCGAGTTAGGTCTGCTGCAGACGCAGGAGGGACGGGGGCCCCTGGGCAAGGACGGAAGAGGGACTAAGGAAAGAAACCCTACGGAGCAGGAGCAAAGCCGAAAGGGGAGGACTGGCCCTTCCTGCAGGGTGGGCTGGAAACCTAACCCTCTGTCCTTCACCTCCTCTGACTCATGGGATGCAGGAGAGAGGCTTCCGGCAGGAGGTGACCTGTGAGGGAGCAGGGACATGAGGAAAGCAATCCAGGGACTATGGGATGAGCTGTAGGAAGGCCCAGCAGGCAGATAAGGAAGACCGGGTGAGATAAAAGTTGGGTTAAACCCAGGTGGTGGACAGGGGCCTGGCTGCAGAGGGCGTGGAGGAGAAAGGCTCTTCAACCCGAAGCCTGTCCTTTCATCCGGCTGCTCTGACGAGCATGGGAGCCCTTCCCACCGCTGCTGCGGCACTGATGGACCCCCAGGTGGCACTGAATTGGGCCACAGTGGTGTCACACGTGTAAATCTTGTGTCTTTCATCTGAATATAAGCCCCAGCCCCCTGCCCCAGGCTGGGCTGCTGGACGTGCCCAGGATCCCCCCGTTGAATGAGTGGTTTAGAAGAGGGAGTTGGAGGCCTGGAGCTGCATGTTTAGGAAACCAAGATGGTTTATTCCTAGAGATGCTGGGGGAAGTGGAAAGGAGGCGGGGAGACATGGCAGTTTGGTGACAGCTGGGTTATAGGTGTGGAGCAAATGGGAAAGATTAAAACCCCTTGGTGAGGGGAGATGGTTTATTCCCAGAGATGCTGGGGGAAGTGGAAAGGAGGCAGGGAGAAATGGCAGTTTGGTGACAGCTGGGTTATAGGTGTGGAGCAAATGGGAAAAATTAAAACCCCTTGGTGAGGGGAGATGGTTTATTCCCAGAGATGCTGGGGGAAGTGGAAAGGAGGCAGGAAGAAATGGTAGTTTGGTGACAGCTGGGTTATAGGTGTGGAGCAAATGGGAAAAATTAAAACCCCTTGGTGAGGGGAGATGGTTTATTCCCAGAGATGCTGGGGGAAGTGGAAAGGAGGCAGGAAGAAATGGTAGTTTGGTGACAGCTGGGTTATAGGTGTGGAGCAAATGGGAAAAATTAAAACCCCTTGGTGAGGGGAGATGGTCTGGACCAGAGATGCTGGGGGAAGTGGAAAGGAGGCAGGGAGAAATGGTAGTTTGGTGACAGCTGGGTTATAGGTGTGGAGCAAATGGGAAAAATTAAAACCCCTTGGTGAGGGGAGATGGTTTATTCCCAGAGATGCTGGGGGAAGTGGAAAGGAGGCAGGAAGAAATGGTAGTTTGGTGACAGCTGGGTTATAGGTGTGGAGCAAATGGGAAAAATTAAAACCCCTTGGTGAGGGGAGATGGTTTATTCCCAGAGATGCTGGGGGAAGTGGAAAGGAGGCAGGGAGAAATGGTAGTTTGGTGACAGCTGGGTTATAGGTGTGGAGCAAATGGGAAAAATTAAAACCCCTTGGTAAGGGGAGACGGTTTATTTCCAGAGATGGGGGCTGTGTTTTCCCTATCAAATCAGAAGCGCCCTGTGGGAGGGGTCTGTCTCTCCACTGGAACCTGACGAAGCAGGTGGGCAAGGATGGGGAAGACAGACGGGACCCCAGCCTCTCAAGACTCCCATCCCTACCTGTCTCCGTCGGCTGGCTCTGCCTGTTGCCTTGTGTTTGAACACCATCTTGGAGCCCAGCCTGACTTCTTCCTCTTGTAAGTGATTTCCTTTTTCTGCCCAAAGAGGTTTTTTAGTCCTTGAACTTTAATATCTTAAGTAGAATATGTCACCATGCAGAATATTCTGCATCTAATTTTTCTGGAACAATGTATGCTTTTGAGCAGAGCATTCCATTCTTTTCTTCCTTTCAGAGAATTTTATTGGTATTATGTCTTTGAATACAGCTTATGTCTCATTTTGGATTCTCTCCCTCAGAGACATCAATTAACCTGAATCACGATTCTCTCTTCTACGTCTCTTAGTTCCCAGCTGTTTTACCTTTTGTCTCAATCAGCCACGTCGTCCGCGATTATCTCAAGCTTCTTCTATGACACCAATTCGGTGTTCAGCAGCATCTACGCTGTTGCTTGGTTCTAGTTTATTGACTAATTTTTTAATGATGTAGTTTTGGTCTTCAATTTGTTTCCTTAGTCTATGATGTCATTTTTTCCTTTCATTTTTGAAATTTCATCTTGGAAATATTGTTTTCTTGGATTATTCTGCAGCAGAAGGCCATTGTGATAAATTTCCTCTGTGCCTCATCCTTAGTTACATTTTCTTCCAGGTTGGAACTTTGTCTTTTGCATCCTCTTGTCTCTTCTCTCTCTGGGTCACTGCTGTGTGTTTCCATAATTGCCATGTGACCTCTCTTTTCTGGCTCATGCCTGTAGCTCTGTCTCCCTGTTCTGGCTGCACCATCTCTGGCCCACCGGTTCCCTCCACCCTGCAGTGTGAGGGCTGCTGTCGGGGTAAATGTGGTTCCATGGCGTGCATGCACCCCGTGGAGTGGTGCAGGTGGGGTGTGCTCTGGGTGGCGCCCAGGCTTTGTCAGAGCCCCTGGGCTCTGCCGGCTTCAGATCGAGGTCCCTCCGACCTGCATGCCCTTGGGCTTCAGGACCGTTCCTCATCTTAGCGAGTAGCGTGGAGCCTTACTTTTCTTCCCCCTGTCACCTGTTCTCCTTGGAGGCCAGCAGTGGGGAGGGGAAGAAAGGATACCCGCAGAGCTGCATCTCTCCAGATTGGGGGTTTCAGGGAGAATTCTCCAGACTTGGTTTTCTTGCCAGTTCACTTTCTGGAGAAGGAGCTGACGAGGGGTGCCAGCATTTTCTCTTGGCCACCCGATCCCGCGGTTTACTCACCTTGGGTTGTGTCTCTGCCTTCGCTTCGTTGCTGCTTGTCATATTTGGGGTGGGCCAGGGGGCTTGCTTTTGCTATTTTCGCTCATTTCTTTAGGAATTGGGAGGAGAAACTTCTGTTGCTTATTTTCAATGTTTACCCTGGAAGTCGCTCCCAAACAGATCTCCTGCCTCTACCCACCCCGCACGAGCTCTGGCCAAGCCCTTTGCTAACACACCGGGCTCCTCCCCCGTCCCCACCTTTGTCCCCACCGCCTGCCTCTTCAGATCACCAGTCTTCAGGGTCCGCCTCTGGACCACCGCCTCCGTAAGGCTTCCCTGACTTCTCCGGCCTCACCCATCTCCCATCTCTGAGCCTGTCGACGGCTCTCTCCAGCTACAACAGAGACCTTACCCTTTAATTATATGTTGTCTGCAGTGGTTTGCTGTGGGCTCCCACAAGTGCGTCTGGCCACTGAGTCAGGCAGGCTGGGTCCCGGGGAGCAGGAGCCTCAGACTCGAGCCCCCGACATCAGGCCTCTCTCCAAAGCATAGCGGGAGCTTGCTGTGGTCCAGGCCTGACGTCTCGCTCTCGTTCTCTCCTTCAATAAGAAGTCAAAACAGCGTTGCCCATGGTCAATCCAGTCTTGGAGATTGTGACTTCAGAAGTCAGTCTTGGCCAATCATTTTGTCCCTAGAGACAAGGGGCTGGGCCACTGGGGTCAGTCTGTCCCTGCTTCTGCCTCCACTTTCCCCCGGGCCCTGATGCTGTGGGCACCCATTCTGACGTGGCTCTCCTTCCCACACAGGCATCTTCATAACAACCGCATCCAGCATCTGGGGACCCACAGCTTTGAGGGGCTGCACAATCTGGAGACACTGTGAGTGTGGGGTTGTGGGGTTGTGGACTCTGTCCTGCCGGGTGATGACAGCCTGGAGTCCCGGAGTCGGAAGGGAGGGTGGCAGAGGGGAAGACTGGCAGGACTGGGATGCTGGGCTGTGGCTCCAGGCTCATCCGCGTGCCCCTCCCGGGCACTTTCTCGAGAATGTCACTCCCAGTGAATTCCTTCCTCCTTCGGAGGGGCGGAACTGTTCTCGGGGAGTTCAGGGTGGCCCAGAGACGGAGAGCCTAGGAGTCCTGCCAGCAGAGACCACCAAAACAATGCAAATTTTAGACAGAAATGAGAACTGCGAGGAGAAGCTAGTCGAACTGGGATATGAAGCCTGGGAATGGAAGGCTTGGGGGTGGGGCTGGGGTTGACTTGATGGCAGTTTTGACATCTGTTTGAGGGTGGCTGCTGACAGAGGGAGAGTGATACACCGAGTCATGCTGGTCCTGTGTGCCAGTCGGTCTAACGAGCTAGATGATGAATGAGGAGATGGTCCCTTCAGCGCTCTGGCCTGACTATAAAAAGCACCCAAGCTGTTGACGCTTAAAAAGCCATATTATTCACACATCATCATCCTGGAATTCGGTGAAGGTCAGAATTCGCCCAAACCCACCCATCATTTCCTCTGGAGTCCCGCCAGGCCCCACAGAGTGGGCTGAGTGGGCACCACTTGAGCAAACAACTGGCCAGGCTCTCTGAGCACACTGGCCGTGCCAGCCGGGGTCTCTCGGCTCCCACGATGGGGCTGGTGGTCATGGCCACCTGGTGCAGGCCTGGGAGGGCAGCACTGGGGAAACGAGGACCCCCAGGTCACCAAGCGTGAGCCGCTGAGGCTGGAGAAGGGCTCTTGGCGTTGGGGGCATGGTCACAGCTCCTCTTGCTACCTGGCCCCCATACTCCATCTGCCTTTCTCCACCCGTGACACACGCACCAAGGCATCGTTCCTGAGGCAAGGGGTTTTCAAGAGTCCAGAGCAGCAGAAGAGACGATGCAGGGAGACAAGCTGTGTGACCTGAGGAGGGAGGTGTGGGGAAGACCGTTCAGTGGCTCTGTCCCAGAGGCCTCGGCGTCTGCGTTTGTGGCTGTGGGGGAAGGACGGGAAGCCGAGACCAAGGCTCCGCTCATCTTTCCTGTGGGCGGGAGACCCAGGGCCACGGTCACTCCCTTGGGCTCAGCCCGAAGCAGGAGAAACGCCAGAGCGGGTCCGGCTCCCCGGCGTCCTCACCTTCCAGCTGACTGAGCGCCCAGGAATGGGGTGCAGGGGGATGTGCCCCAGCCAGGAGTCAGGAAAGGGAGCCTCTCCCCACTGCCGCGTGGGGCTCTGGCTGTGTGCATCCCCTCTCTAGCTGTCGTAGACAGCTGGACGGTTACTGCTGGGCAGTCCGGCCTGCTCAATCAGCCTGCTAACTGATGTCCAGGGAGGTGGCGTGACCCCAGAGTCACTCCCTCAGTTAGGGACAGAGTGATCTAGGGTGCGTTAACTGAGAAAACACAGGTGCAAGTCCCGAGCTTGTGCCTGCAGTCCTCAGTCATCTGGGTCGACTGTGAATTGTGTAAGCCTATCATGCTGGGTTGGGGGCTCCCAGGTGTAAGAGATAGCTGTGACCCTCTCAAAGGCCAGGCCCTCGAGACACAAGAGCTTTGGAGGCGGCATTTGGAGCTGCTGGGCGCCCGCAGAGCAGGGGGAGCCCAGTGTTACCTGCCCGGGAGTGTGGGGTGTGGAGGGGGCACATACAATGGGTGTGGGTTGGCAACTCTAAAAAGCCAACCAGCAGCGATTTCTTCACTTCTGGGGCACGCTGCCTAGTTCTTTCTCAATGAGCCACTGGCTTGCCGCACGCAGGGTGTTTGGCTCAGCTGGCGCTGGCTCGACTTCAGAGCTGTCCTGCCGCTGAGCGCCCACGGCACCTTCCATCCGCAGGAGCGCTCGGCCTCTGCTCAGATCCCAGGGCTTGCACCCACTTTACAGGTGGGGAAGTCAAGGAGAAGAGATGGGAACGGTCCCCACTTCCCACCTTGGGGTCAGAACCGCCCGGTGGCATCAGACAGCTTGGTGTTAAGCCAGCTCCACCAGCTTCATGACTCGGTGACGTCGTTTGCCTCTGGGAGTCTGGTTTTCTGGGATACAGCTGATACCGCTGACTCCCAGGGTGGGCGTGGGTTGACTGAGATGATGTGTGCGGGTCCCGACAGCCTGGCAAACAGGGTTAGGAACCTGCCCTGTGCTCCCTCCTTGCTCCCCATCCCTCCTCCAAGGGCCTCCATCTCAGCAACGCCCCTCGCTTCCCTGCCCTTGAGGGTAAGTTCCTCCAACTTTTGATCTCCAGTTAAAAAGGGGGAAGTGCGTTCTTTATCCTCTACCCCCCAGAGCAGTTACCTGGGGCCTGCAGGGGCGGCCAGCTGTGGAGAGATGGAGGCGTGGCTGGAGAATAAAAGGAGAGAGACAGATAGTCAGGCCTTTTAATGGTTGCGTAATTGGCACGTCCTCAGGCACGGTTATTGCTCTGGAGCTTTTCATGCGAGCGTCTCACTGGAGGGGTATTTCTCCCTCGGGCCCCTGGGTAAGTCTCTGCCACTCTCATCTCCGCAGCAGAGGGAGGACGAGACCCCCCCTCACCCCCTACTCCCGGCCCTGCTGTGGTTTGGCTTCATCAACAGGCTCCTCCTCTGAGGGGGAGCGGGACCCAGCCATTCCACCTGGGAGGAGGGCCCGGTGCAGGCATGCACACGTGGTCACACAGCCACCCGAGCCACACACAGCAGGCAAGGCAGCCATGCAATGCTCATGCCACACACTCAAGCCCTCCATGCTCCCCCCCACATACACGCTGCCACCCCACACCCGAGCACAGTGCAGACACACCTGCTGCCAACCAACGCACCCATGGCAGCACGGCCTCTGTCAGGCCCTCTGCTCTGGAGGCCGGACTGCCTGGGTGACACAGGAGGTCCTACTCTGCAAGCTGGGCCACCCAGAGCCGGCAGCCTCCTCTCTGTGAGCCCCGCCTCCCTCGTCTGCTGGGCATCAGATGAGCATCCCCATGGGCTACCTCAAAGGATGAGCGTGAGTGAGATACACATGCACCATGCTCTCTTCTGCTCCAAAAGAGCCAGGCAAATCCAAGGGATGTGGGCAGGGTCCAGGGGCTGGGTGCTGCTGTGCCCTCTCCCCTACTGAGCAGAGTAGAGCAGGCAGACTCCAGGCCCTGAGCAGAAGCCTTGTGTGCTTTGAGGAGTCCAATCGCCCAGGGAGAGGCTCTGGGGACATTGCTCCCATTTCCCCTGATGCCATCATCATGATTCCAGACCTGACCAAGACACCCCAGCGGAGGCAGACAGGACCAGCTCTGTCCTGCTTCTGCACCCACTTTCTGCTCCCACACTGAGGATGCCCCGCCTCTGTTGAGAAGGTCAGAATCAGAGATGGGCCCGCCCCTGGCCTGTGAAGTACCATTTCCTCCTCTTTCAAGATCAGACCAAATCCAGAGATCTGGGGTGAATTGCACAAGTTTCTACAGTTTGTGAGTGATGGTAAACCACTAGGACCCAAAACTCTCGCCTCCTGATCCCTCCCTCCCTTGAGCACCAGCTCCTGTGAGGTCAGGTCCATCTCAGGCCTTCCCAGATATCTAGGTTGAGAAATAAGAGAAAGCAGGACCAGGAGCAATTCTGGGAAGCTCTCCAGGAAGGGTCTCAGGGACCCAAAACCAGGCCACCCTGCCCTTTGGTCAATGCTTGGAAATGCCTGGCTGGGGGCCGCGGATGCTGTACAGAGCTGTCAGCTAATGGTCCTTGACTCCCCAGCTGTACTTACCCATGAAGTCTGTGCAAAAAAAGAAAAGCCTGGCAAACACTGTTACAACGCAGGGCCCAACACCACTCCCTAGTCTGGGAGTTTGACGTCTGCGTCTCGGCTGTGACTCAGAGCGGAGAGGGCCTAGGATGGAGCTGGGGCCAACGGTGCCTGGCCTCCCTCGGGCCTGGGAGATGATCTCAGCCTCGTTATAACCTCATTAAACAGATCGACCCAGTTGGAGCCCCTGTGCTGGCTGGACCTTTCCCCTTTGGAGGGAAGCCTGGGGCCATCGTGGCAACAGAAACCTCCCGCTCTAGCTCCAAATCAGGACCAGCGTTCAGCAGAGGTCTGGGAGGAGAGCAGGGCGGGAATCTATAGGATTCTGCCTGATGAAACAAAATTGTGCATTCCGCGTAAAAGCTGGTCTGGGGCCAGATGCCCCAGTGATCTGCTTCCACAGGACGTTTTTACTTCGACGGAAGCTGTGGCTGCAAAGCCCTCTGGCTCTGCGTCATCGACACCACTCATGCCAACAGATTTTGCTCTAAACCAACTCTGACTTGGTCCTCAAGGTGTCCGGCCGTCTCTCAGTCCTGGGCCCAAGGGCCAGCCTTCGGACCGAGACAGAAAACCAGGCGGGTCTCCAGTGGAGGGTCTCCCAGGGCTCAGGGGCATCCTGCAGCAGACTAACGACTGGACCTGAGTCAGCTCACCTGGATTCGGCCCTGGCTCTGCCACCAGCACGTGGCATGTGCGAGTCACCTGAACTCTCCAGAGGCTCGGTTTCCACAAATGGGAAATGGAGACGATAGTTTTCAATGCACGTGATGATATTTACCGAGGCTGGAAGGCTCCAGGTGCTTCATTGGTGTGGGCTTTCTCGTTCCCGTCCTCCCACCTAATGCTGGATGGACAGCAATGTGACTTTGCCCCTCCTAAATTAATTAACTAATTAATTTTCCTTTCTTTCTTTCCTTTTTTTTTTTTTTGACAGCAGTGTGTCTGAAGGTGGCAGGGAGGGTGTTGCCTGACTCATCTCCTCCAGAGTGTGGATGGTCAGGGCGCGGCTGCCGTATTAGTTTCCTGTGGCTGCCATAACAAACTATCACAAACTTGGTGGCTTTTAAAAAAACCCCAGAAATTTATTCTCCCGCAGGCTGGAGGCCAGAAGTCCAAAATCGAGGTGTTGTCAGGG